TTCCCTCGGGTCAACAGAATTCCTTACACATAATTTCTGGTTCGCAGACTCCAATTGGGAAGTCGAAATTTTCCTCGATTTGGGATTTAAATTAAATTGGTGACTTGGGACACCAAAAGCCAATCCTATCCCAAGTGGCGACTCTAAAAATAAATAAATAATCCCATTTCGAATAATGTCACTTTAAATGGAAAAACTCCCTTATACATTTACCCTTCGGGGTAGGTGTGTAAAAAAGGAGGTGTGACACCTGGTCAGAAAAAGGGGCAGAATGAGGGTTTAGTTCAAAAGTTAGAAAAATTGATTGGGAGCTCGGGAGAGGGCAATTTTGGGTGATTTTTGAAGAGAAATCAGTGGGTAACAATTCCTTATCCTTTTCTAGTTGTATTCCATTAATCTATTCTTAGTTTTATCATTTAATTTCGGATTTGAGATGAAAATTGGGGGAAAATTTGGAGAAAGTTCTTAGACCTAAATTTCGAGTTTTGATTGGGAATTTGACATTGGATTTGGATAATTTTGATATGGTTAGACTCGTGAGAGTATGAGGATTTTGAAAATATAAATTTTACCCGATTCCGAAACATGGGCTCGGAGGGCATTTTGGTCATTTTACCTAATATCGCGTATTAGCTTAGAATTTATTTGTAGAATCAGTTGCTTGGAGTGTTATTTAAATTATGCAATTGAATTGAATAGATTTGGGCCATTCGGAGTCGAATACTAGTGGCAAGAACATGGTTTTGGGTTGATTTTGAGCCGGTTCGAGGTAAGTGGCTTGTCTAACCTTGTGTGGGGGAAACTCCCCTTAGGATTTGATTTGTTGATAATTGAAATGCCCTGTACGTGAGGTGACGAGTGCGTACTTGTGCAAATTGTTGAAAAATCCGTTTTCTTTAAGTAACTAGAAATGTGATTTTCCTGTTTCCTGTTCATATCGTGTGTACTTTAAGCCTGCTATTAACTTAGGGAAGCATGTTTAGTTGACTTAATTGCCTTACTTGCTCAAATTACCTTATTTGGATTATGTGCAACATGCTAGGCTAGAATTACCTATTTTATTTTGGTATGGAAATTCGAACCGAATTGAGTATTCTTTTGTGTTGCTGCTGTGTGTTTACTTTGGACTACGGGACGGTATCCCTGGAGATCCCCCCTGTATGTTTACTTTGGGACTACGGAATTGTATTCCGGGAGAACCCCCTGCACTTTTATATTGAAACTACGGGACTGCACCCGGTAGATTCTCCCAGTATTGAGTATTTATATTTGGGACTACGGACGTGGTATTCCGGTAGATCCCCGCGCATTATGAGTTGGACTACGGGACTGCACCCGGGAGATACACTGGATATTTATATTTGGGGACTACAGAACGGTACCCTGGGAGATCCCCCGGTTGTTATCTCTGCGTTGAGCTGTATTTATTTCCGTGATTACTTTGTTTTTATTAAAGTTGTTGTTGTTCTTCTATCCCGTGTTACTTTTTTTACTGTTGCACTTAAGTATACTATCTCATTCTACACTGTTATATCTTGTATTTCCTTTAACCTCAGTAGGGCCCTGAGCTTCCTCGTCATTACCCGACCGAGGTTAAGCTTGGCACTTACTGAGTACCGACTCATGCCCTTCTTGCGCATGTTTTTCATGTGCAGATCCAGGTACTCCCGCTCAGACTTATCACGCTTGAGGCGAGGCGTTTTATATAAACTCCGAGGTATATCTACCGCGTCCGCAGACCGAAGAGTCCCTTTCTATTCTCAGTACTAGTATAGCCCTTTCTGTATTTTCCCTTGCTGGTAGACATTCTGGAGTTAGAACTTATTATGTAATCTTTTAGCTTGTGATTCATGGAGTTCCGGATTTTGGGAGTGTTAGATTGAGATTACTGTTATATGCCAGACGGCATCTTAAACACTGTTTAACCTTGTTATCTCGATTTTTAATTACTTTCTTCTGCAATTATTTTTTTCCCGCATTTGTTAGGCTTACCTAGTCATAGAGACTAGGTGCCGTCACGACAGTTCACGGAGGGCGAACTGGGGTCATGACACATTGGATGCATTAGATGAGGGTTCATTGATGGTGCCAACGGGTGCAAGATGTTGTTTAACCATACCTGGTTTTAGTAGTTGTTCATAGCGAGTCTCATTCCCTCGGATATCAACTGAGCAAGATATTGTGTATTGTGGAGGATGGCAATTGCTTCCTGTCCATTTATTTGGACATTAAATGACACTGCATGGCCCAGCAGCCCCACTTACATCCATGAAAGTGGTTGATAATCCTGGGTTTGAGGAGGTTGGACTAGAATTATTTGAGGAATCTCCAACTGTGGGAGGACTGGGGGTAGGTTCTCCATATTTTGAGCTCCGTGATGTCTCAGGATTTGGATTAATCGGTGTCTTCTTCTCAAAGTGGATGGGATTCTTGGCATTTTTGCAAAGAAGTGTTGTGGTTTTTTATAGAGTTTTTTTCGGACGTGACTTGTGGATTGGCAGAGAGCGTATTGGAAGTTGGGCTAATGATTGGTAATTCTATTTGCATGTTGTTTGTGTGGGATGGCGTATTGTATTTAAAATATCTTCTTCGGATCCTGCATGGTTTGTGTTCATTAGTTGAGATGCCATTTGTTCAATTTGTGGAATTTGGTTTGACATTTGGACGGCATGCTCAAGAGCTAGATGGTCTAGTTCTAAACAAGATAGCTTATTAATAGTTATCTGAGTTACACGGTGATTACTACGGTAGTGTCCATTTAATTGGTTAGGATTAGCGGTTGCAGGGTCTATAATATTGTTTATATTATTATTAATTATTTTATTAGTGGGGTTGTCTTGCATGGCATTAGTTACTGAAGAGTTTTCCTACGCCACGTGTGAGTCGGACATGTCCATGCTGTCCATAGACACTTCCAAGAGATCATTTTTGTCTAAACAATCTTTTTTATTATAATTAATATTTTTTTTAATCCAAATCAGTGGTTTCACACAAAAACATTTGCTCATCTTCTAAAAGAGAAGAGTTGTTTTGAGTACTGATGGTGGTATTTTCTATTGGTAGGTTTTTAGTGGCCTTTTCGATGTGATAATCTTGCATCTTAACAAGTTTTTTAGACTTGTAATGTAAAACTTGGGTATCTAAGTACTTACCAGTTGCTGCATTGAACAACTTTACCGTAATACCTGAGTTGGTGTTATTTTTCGTTAGTTTTGGAGAGGTTTCTTGAATGCTATTTGATTCATATATTTTTTTTTTTGAAGGTGACTGTCTTCCACTCCCCTATTTCTTCTTCCAAGTGCTTGATTGTTTACTCCTTGTCTTGTGGTGCTTGGTCATTGACTTGGATTTTTTGTCCATGGCTTCCTTCTGAATGTACTTACACTGAGTTTGGATATGGCCCAACCTCCCGCAATTTTTGCATAAAAATTTATCACCTTCGTAGTGTATATACTGCTTATGTTGGACAATGTAAATGTAAGGTTGAACAAGAGTTTCCAACGGTAGCTCAACACAGAGCCTAGCATAGCAGCCTCTAACCGTGGTGGAAGTGCAAACGTCTATTTTTAATAATCGCCCTATGTCATTCCCAATTTTTCTCGAAGTTTTCCATCATAAAACTCTGTTGGCAATTGTGGTAGCTTGATCCAGACTGCCGAAACTGTTAACTTTTTTTATTTGCTACGAAGTTTGGTCTCCATTTGGTGATTGATAAGTAGTGGCCGTTGATAAACCATGGACCATGAGTGAGGGCCTTCTCATATTTTCTTTCTTAGTAAACTTGATGATGTAGTAATCATCCCCTAGATCGATTAGTAGGAAATTTTTTGAGGGACGCCACAGTTCTTGGATCTTTTTTTTTAGGTAGTGATGTAACATTCGTTTTCCAAATAGCTTGATAATTAGTGAGAATTTCCAAGGTTCATAAATTCTCTGCTTCTCTTCCTCGGTTAGAGCTATTGCTTTAATTCCCCGTGTATTGAGCTCTATTAAATGCTCTTGCACTCCATTTTTTGAGAAGATTTCTTCTACTGAATTTTGAGATAGGGTTAAGGAATTTGTAAAATTCATTGGGTTTGAGGCTAGTAGCTTTTCTTTGAACGACGCTTTGTCTTCCACGCCATTCTTTGAGGTATTTTCATTAGTGATATCAGGTGGTTTTGGTGGTGGGGGAATAGGTTTTTCTATTTCGAAGTACTGGGAATGTATTTTTTGTGTTACTTATAGTATTTGGTAATAAAGATATTTCACGCCTCATAAATCATAATAAGGGCATATAAAAACTTACAGTGGAGTAGGATTTCTTTGTTTTATTGAGCTAGCTTAGTGAGATTAACATTCGTTATTTTAGGAACTTTTTTTTTGTTAATATTTGCCCAATAACGAAAAATACATTATTTAATAATATTTACGTAATTTTTAAAAAAATTATATTTATTGATATAGGTACACGCGCAAAGCGCCTACCCTAAAACTAGTATCATAAAGTCCAAAAGTATATGTTTTTACGACCCTTCCTTCTACAATTTGATACTTTTTCAAAGATATGTTGTATTATTATTTTTACAGCTCTAATTTCTTACCGACCCCTTGTAAAAAGATTAACTAAAATAACATTTAATAACGGATTTCAAAAGTAATAAATCTCAAAGAAGTGTTCACAGGCTTTTGGGTACACTATGAGCCCGTTTGGTCTTAAGAATATTTTCACTTTTTTCCGAAAAATTTATCTTTTTTCGAATTAGTGTTTGACCATAAAATTTTAATTTTCATGTGAAAATAAATTTTAGAATTTTTTAAAAATTTAAAAAATTACAAGAAGTCATTTTTTAAAAACTTCACTCACACTAGCTAAAATTGAAAAACAATTCAAATTTATATTTATGTCGAAACACAGGTCTAGTTTTCGAATATTATTTAAAAAAAAAATCACTTTTTTGCTTTTGTTTTTGAAATTATATTTATGTCCAAACGCCCAGTATATATATAGTAAACACAAAGTTAGGAAATGAAGAAAGCAAAAGCTCAGAAGGGAAAGAATGAGGCTACAGAGAGTTTGAGGATTTTCATTGAAAGGGCGGTTGCCTCTCTCTGCAATTAGCCAATGATTTCTCTATTTACTGTAAGAACCCTAACAGCCCTTTTTATCGATTGTATCGGAGGGAGTATATATATATATATATATATATATATTATTAAGGGTTTTCTATACCCTTCCACTCTTTTTTTCTTTTTCTTTTTATAATGCCTTCGCCGGAGCATTCTATGCTTGCCGGTGGAGCTGGTGGAAGCGGTGACGGTGAGTATAATCGGCTGCTAAAATGAGGCGATGATGATTGTTGTCATTCCCTTCTGAGCTTATTAATTAATCGGGGCATTTTGAGATAACCCGACCCGTATCTTGGCGGGGCAATGCCCTCAGATTTACGCTGGTGGGTTTTTGCAGCCATGGCGTCGTTGGACTCTCCTTTTGCCTTCAGTTAAACACAGATCTGAGCCTCACATATATAGTTTGACCTCTCTGTAACAACATCCCTATAACAACATCCCTATGTAACAATCATTCACTATAAAAGCAAGTTTTTTAGGAACCGATTTTAACATTACGTTATAATATATGTTCTAATAGCTTTTCAGTATAGCAGCAAAAAATATCGGAACAAACTAAGAGTTTTGACTGTATGTGTGAATTTTAGAAAATTCAGCTAATTTTGGAATGGGATATAGAGGATTCATACCGATTTGGTATGAGGTGTAGTAGTAGTTGATGTTGTTGTTTTAGATGATAGAAGGATTTGACTGCATGGATTGCAAAAATCACAATTTAGTTTTCTCTGTTTTGTCCGTGCGTGGAGCTAAAAAGGCCTAATCTCTTGTTTCACTGGTTATCAGAATGGACTTTTTGCTTTTCAAAATGCAAAGAACTAACAACTGTGAAAGTCTTATTAGTTTCAAGTCTGAGGCTGTGGTGAATGCAGAGAGCTGTAGGAAGTTTTAATGGGTGGTTTTGCCCCTCTCCGTCTTTCTCCTCTGCCAATGATAACTGCAATGAAACATTTTTCCATTAACAAAACCACCCTTTTGGTGAAAATACACAATGGCCTTGCTAGTTTCCTGTTCTTGTTACTCTCTTCGTTTCAATGCAATGAGGCTGTGGAGATTTTAGTCCTCTGTGGGAGATGAATCGGACATTTTTCTCTTTAGCTGAAAACACTGTATCTTGGCATGGCAGCTCAGATGGGTCTATGAGATTTGGGGGCAAAGTTCCATTTTTGGTATTTCCTCTGTCTCATAAGACTAACTGTTGCTTGCAGCCAATAGTGCTAAAGAATGAGGTTTTTGGTGACTCGGAGAGTGCAGGAGTCTCTAAGGTTGGGTTCTCTTTCTCTGTGAGTTCATAGTTGATGAATTCTCTTGGTTTAGGGACAAGTTATGCCGGCGCAATGAGTATGATTGACAGCTTGAAAGAGGCAATGATAATTTTGTAAATCTATCACATTAATCGGGCAATTGAGATTATCGACTCGTATCTTGGCGGGAATGCTCTCAGGTCTGGTGGGTTTTGCAGCCATGGCTTCGGCTGAATCTCCTGGTGAGTTTTAAGGGGCTATCTATCTGTTTGGCCTATCTAAAATAACAATACAATGGGTAACAACAACCCAAACAAGCTTTTATTGGTTCGTTTGATTTAGAGACAAGTTATGCCGTTGGTGGTGACTGTGGCTTGAAAGAGGCGATGATGATTGTCAATGTCCATTCTTTCTAAGCTTATTAGTCTACCCTTTGATATTATCTGGCATGTATCTTGGTGGGGCGTGCCTCCAGATTTTCTGGTGGTCTTTTGCAGCCATGGCATTGTCAGACCTCCTTTTGCTTGAGTTATAACACAGATCTGAGCCTCGACCGAAGCAGGGGTGATTTGCACAAATAGGATGCTTTGAGGCCATGTTTATATTTTGTCGTGTAAGTATTTTTGCAAACTTCATTAGTTTAAGTCTGAGGCTGCGGTGAAGCAGAGAGTTGTGGGGATTTCCATTGGGTGGTTTTGTCCGTCTCTGTCATTATGGGTTGCCGATGATCACTGATAACTTTTTTTGATTGCAAAACCACCCTTTTTGTGAAATTTCACATGACCACTTTTCCTTTTCCTACTCTCTCGGTTTAGCCTCTCTACCTTCTCAAGGTAAGGGTAAGGTCTACGTACACACTACCCTTCCCCCATCCCACTTGTGAGATTCAACTGGGTTTGTTGTTGTTGTTGTTGAGGCTATGAAGATTTTTTCTTCTGCGGAAGATGAAACATATATTTCTATTGAGCTGAAGAAAACTGTAACTTGGCGTGGCAGCTCAGATGGTTCTGTGAGATATGGGGAGAGAAGTTTCATTTGTGGTGTTCTCTGTCTCATAAGGCTTACTGATGCTTGCAGCCATGGCGGTTTTAAAGCAAAGAGTTACGCATAGCCTAGAGAGTGAGGCATCAGAGACATTGGGATTTTTTTTGGAAAGGGTGGTTGTCCCTCTCTGCTATGCCCGTGATTTATCCATTGATAACCAGAAAAACCAACAGCCCTTTCAAATAAACAAGAAAAAAGAAAAAAAGAAAATCTTTCATCCAAACACACCCTCGTACACTTTTTCGTCTTCCTCTTCTCTTTGTGCTGCTGTTACTGATGTTGTAAAGGGGCTGTGATGATTGCTTTCCTTTCTTGACTATGTTTGATCACGGCATTGAGAAAAATGAAAATACTGACCGTATCTTGGCGAGGCGATACGGTATGGCTTTGTATAGCAAACTGGTGTCTGCAGCCATGGCGGCGTCGCCTTCTCTTTTGCTTAGTTCAAATACGGAAAATCTGAGCCCTCAATTCCCATTTCATGTTCTTCTATGGCGAGTCATTATTCTCTTTTGAGAGAGATTTTAACCAAAAGACTCTTGTAAGTCTCATTTTAAGACTGTAACCAGGGACTTTTTAACCGAAAGAACTGTGTAATTCTTGATTTAAGAAACTAGCTCGTACTTCTCTCTTTTTTCCTCCTCTCTCTCACTACCCCACAGGTAATTTATGTATAGAGAAAAGAGGAGAAGAGAGATGGGAAATTCCGAGGTGAAAAACCAAAGAATTTCCCCATAAAAGACAAAGGTTAGTCCAGAAAGGAAAGAAATGAGGCAAAACAGAGAGTATTGGGAGTTTCTTTAAAAGAGTGGTTGTCCCTCTCTGTTCCGCCATTGATTTTCCTCGATTATCAAACAACCAACAGCCCTTTGTTTATGAGAACAGCAGAAACTGGAAAAGGACTTATCCTATATACATTGCATCTCTGTCTTTCCTCTGTGTGCGCGTGTGACTGTGTGTATTGTATTTAGAGTGGGATGGAAGGTACATAAAGAGGCAGTGATAATGATGTTACTATATCTGAGCTATCCGATTCGGGCATGGAGATGACTCGACCCGTATCTTGGCTTGGCAACCCGGTATGGCATGTGATTCGACTTCTGTCTCTGATATGCAACCGGTGTTTGCAGCCATGGCGTGGCTGTTTTCTCTTTTTGCCTTATCAATAACACACATCCGAGCCCCATTTGCTGAAAAGAAAAAAAACAGACTCTTTTTTCTTTGATTCATTACCCTCTCCAGGCCCCACACTGTGGGATACACCGGGTATGCTGCTGTTGTTGTTGTAATGTTTGGAATATGTGACATGTGCTACTTTCTGCTACAAGTTATCAGCCCAGAAAGAACTGAAGCAAAACTGAGAGTTTGGGATTTTCTTTAAAGGGTGGTTGCCCCTCTCTGTTCTGCTGTTGATTTTCCTCTATTCACAAAAAACAACAGCCCTTGTCATGGAAACAAAGGAAACATGAAGAATATAATTAAACAATAATACTCCTCCTAGTACTACTACATATCTGGGAAATTCAGAGGTGAAAAACCAAGGAATTTCTCTTATAAGTTGTTGTCTTTACTCTGTCTGAGAGCCGGCCACCCCAGACCCACGAGAGGTTTGAGAATGATCCTCTACTGTTCAGAGGCCCAAGGGCCACCAAAGATGCTAATCACGGTCTGGCTCATGGTCACATTTCATCCACTTAGACTTGGTTTCCTATCTCCTTAGAACTCAAGGATATAGCTGTGGTACGAGCCTATAGAACAGATCCTGTTCAAGTAAGGTCGCGAGAAAAAAAACCCAAAGAATTTCCCTAGAAAGGGAGGGTTAGCCCAGAAAGAAAGAGAAAGAAATGAGGCTAAGCAGAGAGTATTGGGATTTTCTTTAAGAGGGTGGTTGCCCATCTCTATTCACCATTGATTTATCAAAAATCCAACAGCCCATTGTTTGTGGAAACAAGCCGAAGCATAAACTGAAAAAACAAAAAGGATTTTACGTTATGTACACTGACATCTCTGTCTTCACTTTGTGTTTGTGTGTATGTGCTGTTTATTCAGTGTGTATGGTTGTGCGATAAAGAGGCGTTGATGATGTCGTTTCTCTATCTGAGCTAACCAATTCGGGCATGGAGATGACCCGACCCGTATCATGGCATGGCAACCTGGTATGGCCTGTGACTGAGACTTTTGTCTCACACATGCAACCGGTGTTTTGCAGCCATGACGTTGCCTTATCATAATTCACATCTGAGCCCTTTTTACTTGAAAGAAAAAAAAAGAGAAGAGAATCTTTTCCCTGATTTAATGTTTGGATATGTCGAACCTGCAATTTTCTGCTTACATGGAACAAAGCAAATGCTCAGAAGGGAGAGAATGAGGCTACATAGCATATAGGGATTTTTGGTGAAAGGGTGGTTGCCTCTCTTTGCATTAGCCTATGATTTCTCAAACAATCCCAACAGCCCTTTCTTCGGGAATATTTTGCATGGTATGGCCAGTTTTAGGACTGCTATTTTACATAGGGAGATTTGCACGAAAAAGATCATTTGAATCTTCTATGCAGTATGCATTTTCTTTTTCTTTCTTTCTTTCTTCCTTTTATGCTTCAGCTGGAGCATTTAATGCTGCCGGTGATTATAATCAGCGGCTAAAAAGAGGCTGTGATGATTTTGTCAATTCTTCCCGTCCCTTCTGAGCTTATCAATTGGCATTTGAGATTATCCGACTGGTATCTTGGCGGGGCATTCCCCAGGTCTCCCTTGGTGGTTTTCGCAGCCGTAGCGTCGTCGGATCTGTCCTTTTGCCTGAGCTATAACACTGATCTGAGCCTCACTTTCTCTTTGTCCTTTCTAAAATGGATATAGGCAGAGGCGGGTTCAAGATTTGAACTTAAAAGTTCTTAGCACTCAACTCATAGTACTTTTGGAAATTTGGGCTCAAAATCTAACACGAAAATTGCCTCTACCTTTCTAGAAGTAGGGGTATGGTTTGCGTACACACTACCCTTCGCAGGCCCCACTTGTGGGAATACACCGAGTTTGTTGTTGTTATAATCTAACACGAAAGTAGCAAAAATCTCATTAGTTTAAGTCCGAGGCTAAGGTGAAAGCTTCTCTGCCAATGATCACTCTAACGAGAAAAATTTCCTATTGCAAAACCACCCTTCTGGTGAAATTACACTTGACCTCTCTCTTTTACTTTTCTTGTTACTCTCTCTGGTCCATTATGCTATGGAGATTTTGTCTTCTGAGGAAGATGAAACAGGCATATATTTCTATGGAGCTGATAACACTGTGTCTTGGCGTGGCAGCTCAGGTGGGTCTGTGAGATATTGGGGGAAAAGAACTCTTTCAGTGCTTCTTAATCTGTCTCATAAGGCTAACTGTTGCTTGCAGCCATGGCAGTTTTTCCAAAGCCTTTTGATTTTTTGTCTGAGAGAAGGCGATTCTCAGCCTAACCCATTGTTTTGGTTTTTGGTTTTCCCTCTGCTCCTTGATTACATAGGCAAAAATTTGAGCTCATAACCTCATTTTACAGTCAAATATATGAATACTTGCTAGCCATTCCAACATTCAATAGTTTTAGGTTCTCAAACACTTGGTGAAACGCATTAGTTTAATTTTAGGACTTGGTGAAAACAGAGAGCTCTGGGGAGATTCTGTGGGTGGTTTTGACCCTCTCTCTTATTCTCTAGCGTCGATGATTACTCAAAAGAAATTATTTTTAATATGCAAAGACACACTTTTGGTGAAATTACGCTACACCTCCCTATTTTCCTTTTCTTGCTACTCCCTCTGTTCCATTTACGAGCAATGAGGCTTTAAAGATATTTTCTTTTATTTTATTTTGGTATGATGATGATATGAGTTGAGTTTAAAGAAAGAAGTGAGGATTCATATTGTCGACCCCAACTTGTTTGGGATTGAGGCATAGTTAGTGTCGTTGTAGTTTGTGTTGATGAATCAAACATTTTTCTCTTGAGCTGAAAAAACTGTATCTTGGTGTGGCAACTCATATGGGTCTGAAATATTTTGGAAAAATTCAATTAGTGTTTCTTTTCTGTCTCATAAGTCTCACGGATGCTTGCAGCCATGAAAGTTCTTAAAGCTTATGTTTTTTGTCTGAGAAAAGAAAAATCTTAGTCCACCCATTACCTAGATTGTGTTAAAAGAATGAGGCTTTATGTGACTCACACAATGCAGGAGTTTCTCTGTTGGTCGCTCTGTTCCTTTGTAGTTTGACAGCTTATGAATTCTTTGATTCTTTTCTATCAGCAGCCCTGGCATCAGACGATGTTGATGAAAACAATGATGACGATGCTAAATCAGTCAACTATGCCCTTATCCCAAATAGTTCGCATCGGCTATATGGACCTCTCTGTTCATTCTACTCTAAACCCCAAACCTAGTGAATGAGGCTGTGATGATCTTATCCAGAAAGCTTGAAATCTCAGATATTTGTGCTGAGTCTTAGCTTGGCTGGGGAAGGTAGGGGGAGTTTTGTTTTTTAGCTTTGGGTTTTGATACTTGTAGACAAATCTGAGCCTCATTTTGTATTACTTTCAATTCCTTGGACAATCTGTCAACATTTTCTTTTCTATTTTTTTTTTGTTTTTATGTTTACATGTCTCTAGATTATTAAACCCCTCTTCTTACAACAACCATGCTTCAGTTTCAAGCTAGTTGTAGTCGCTTATAGCCTTATATGAATCCTCACTATTTTTTCTACTTCGTTTGGACCCATTTTGTTCCAACATTCGATAATTTGGGGCTCTCTAACTCTAGAAGTTCTGCCATACAAATGTACTAAAAGGCCTCCTAGTAAACACTACAGGTAATATAAGTGTACAAAGGTTTTTTCCACTTTTGAAAAGAAGTTTCGTGTATTCACCTCAAATTTTCCATTTTCTCTGAGGCAGTGAAGATTATCTTAAAAAGACTGAACACTATTTTTGAGCTAATTTCTGGCTTGGCACTTGGAAGGTCTGTGGAGGATATTGTCCCTTCTCATGAGGCAACCATGTATGCAGCTATGAAGTTTTAGCTCTGCTCTTTGATTAAATAGGCGAAAATCTGAGCCTCCTCTATACCTCAGTTTAACTTTTGTTAGAACACTGTAACTGTATATTGGTGAAGCTTTCTGGGAATAAATTTGAATTTAAATTCCAGTCTTAAACTGATTTCGAGTTTCAAAGTTGTTTTGTGATAGTTGAGTTTTCAAGAAAAAGATTACAAAAATGGCATGGTCTCTCGTCTTGATGTCTTCATGTCTCCAATAGTTCATTCTGAATTTTTGCAACTTGTCCCATATTAGAAATGATGATGATAGCAAAACTATTCATGGGGAGGGTTGACATAAAAACAACTGTCTTTTAGCTTTCGCTGACAAGTCCATCTAATACTTGGTCGGTAATTATCTTCTTTGGCATATTTTTTTAATCATCAGATATCCTAATTTGGAGTATAATAATTGTCGCAAAAAGTGATAACGATGAAGATAAACTGAATTTATGTAGACCGAGGTTCCTAGTCAGTTGACGAGATTAGTTTTTTTTTTTTGGCATGGTATAGCGTGTAAATACTCAACCAAACATCAGAAATAATACTTTTTCAAAGTACGTATGACCAATTGTTGACATATGTCAGAAATGGTTGACATAGGACCAATTGCAAATATGAGATTATCATATATACTAGTTCTAGTTCCTGCTCCTTTTGAAAGCTTCTCAAACCTCATTAGTTTAATACTTAAAATATAAGGCCATCAAACGACAATGAAATTGCGCACAAAAAAAAAGTGTAGTAGATAATTTCCATAAAAAAAGTAGAATATATGAAAAAGGATGCACACACTAAAACCTAAAGTTTATGAACTTCCTCTTTTACATTTTAACTTTTTTTTAGTGAGATGTAGCGAAACTCTTACTCATATTTCAAGGACCATTTTGATAAAAAAGCTCGCGTACTTTTAAAACTGAAATCCTCAATTGCCCCCATAAATAAGGTAAGAGTCTTTTCTTCTTCTAATGACTCATTACCGAAGAAAAAAGAAAATATTACAATAAATATTTTATACAAGTTTAGGATAGTGTAAAGGGAGTGATAGAGAGATGGAAAGACAAAAAGTAAGCTCAAAAGGGGGACAATGAGGCTACAAAAAGAGTTCAAGATTTTTTTGAGATGAACAAGGAGAGTGGATACTAAAATATTTAGGTAAGACAAACTTACTTCAAGTCTCACCATAGAGTTATGCATCAAACAAAGGAGAAAATTAACAAAAGAAAAGGAATATCAACAACAATAACAATATACCCAATATATTTTCACAGGTGAGGGGTCTGGGGAGGACAGTGTATATAGCAAACTTTATCCTTACTTTGTGAAGGTAGAAAGGTTATTTTCGATAGATATCCGGCTCAAGAAAAATATTTCACAGCATGTTAAAGGAAAAAATCAGTAGTGAAGAAGTCATGTTGAAAATAATAAAGATAAAAACAGTAACACAACAAAATACCAAAGTAATAAAATAACCGAAGTAAAGGAGATAACATATAGTAATAGAAGATAGAGGATGATACAAAGTAACACGCTCTTGAGACTATTATTGAAAATGAACAACAAGGCTACTATTACACATATTTTTAAAGAGAGACAACAAAATGTGTAAATTTTGTAGTAAATTTGATAATCTGAATAGTTGCGCTTAAGGAAATTAAAAATTTTCTTCTAACGGATTAAAATCAAATTTTAAGTAATTTATTGTCTTTTTAAATATAAAAAACGATAAAATGATCATAAAAACCTAAACCCCATAACCCCATTGAAACAGCTGTTCCGAAGACATAATAGGACTTTGTGCGAGTGGCTAGGGGCTTCCTCTTTTTCTTTTAAAAAAGTTAGGGAGGTGCAGTGAAACTTTACTCATATTACAGGGACCATTTTGATAGAGAGCTCGTGTACAGAAACTAAACTAAAAAAAATCCTAAATTCCCCCCTCAGAGAAAAGCAAAAAGAAAGTTTAGTCCACAAGCTTCTGTTTTCCATCACTCATTGCCGAAGAAACAAATACAAACATGTGTTATGGAGATGAAACGAAGCAAAAAAGCTGAGAAGGGAGAGAATGAGGCTACAGAGAGTTTAGGGATTTTTCATTGAAAGGGTGGTTGCCTCTCTCTGCATTATTAGCCCATGATTTCACTGTAAGAACCCTAACAGCCCTTTCTTCAGTACTATTTATGCTAATTACCCCTTTTTCCTTCTTACGGAGGGATTATTAACAGCCTGTTTGGATTGTTGTTACCGTCAATTTTGGTTTTCTTTCTTTTATGCCTTCGCCGGAGCATGCAAATGCTGCTGGTGGAGGTGATGGAAGCGGTGGTGGTGAGTTTAATCGGCGGCTAAAAAGAGGCGATGATGATTTTAACAATTTTTTAATTCCCTTCTGAGCTTATTTATTAATAGGGGCATTTGAGATTATCCGACCCGTATCTTGGCGGGGCATGGTTTTTGCAGCCATGGCGACGTTGGAATCTCCTGTTGCCCTAGCTTTGAAACAGATCTGAGCCTCAGTTTTCTCTATGCCCTATTGGGAAATGGATATAGCCAGAGGGGGATTCAGGATTTGTACGTCACAGCTTGTTTGGATGGTTGTTACCTATCGTTTCATAATGTGTATTGTTTTGACGAATACAATGTTAAGCACTAAACTCACAGTACTTTTGGAATTATGAGTTTAGAATCTAACGTGAAAATAGCAAATATCTCATTAGAGAGTTGTAGGGAGTTCCAATGGGTGGTTTTGCCCCTCTCTGTCATTCTCCGCCCCCAATGATCACTCAAATGATAAATCTTTCCAATTATAAAAACCATCCTTTTGGTGAAAATACATAATGACCTTGCTAGTTTCCTGTTCTTGTTACTCTCTGTGTTTCAATTTATGTGATGCAATGAGGCTATGAAGATTTTAGTCTTCTGTGGAAGATGAATCAGACATTTTTCTCTTGAGTTGGAAAAACTGTATCTTGGCATGGCAGCTCAGATGGGTCTGTGAGATTTGAAGGAAAAAGTTCCATTTTTGGTTTTTCTTCTGTCTCATAAGGCTAACTGTTGCTTGCAGCCATTGCATGTTTTAAAGCTCTTTTGGTTTTGTCTGAAAACAGGGGAATTTTGAGCCTCAAAGAGGTTGAGCATAGCCTAGAGAATGAGGCATCAGAGAGATTGGGATTTTTTGTTAAGGGTGGTTGCCCCTCTCTGCCCTATCGGGTAGGGGTAAGGTCTGCGTACACACTACCCTCCCCAGACCCCACTTGTGGGATTTTAGTGGGTCGTCGTTGTTGTTGTGGTGGTGGTGTTTACCCCTCTCTGCTATGCCCGTGACTTCTCCATTGATAACCAAAAAGACCAACAACCCTTCCAAATAAGAAGAATTAACCTATATAGCCGCCCACCCAACTGCATAAACTAAAAATAGCAGTCGGATATATAAGATATGTATAATTCATGTAACATGTGTATAACCATGTTTAATTATCGTATAATCTATGTATACCGGCTAGGAAAAGTGATGGTGAATCCGGTCGGCTATTTGTGTAAAGATCCTTTAAACAAGAAAAAAAAAAATCCTTCATCCAGACACACCTTTGTACTCTTCTTCGTCTTCCTCTTCTCTTTGTGCTGCTGCTACTGATGCTTTAAAGGGGCTGTGATGATTGCTTACGTTCCGGGCTTTGTTGAACCACGGCATTGTGAAAATACTGACCCGTATCTTGGCGAGGCGACACAGTATGGCTTTGTATAGCAAATTGGTGTCCGCAGCCATGGCAGCATTGCCTTCTGTTTTGCTTAGTTCAAATACGGCAAATCTGAGCCCTTAATGCCCATTTCATGCTCTTCAATGGCGAGTCCATTATTCTTTTTTGAGTTTTAACCGAAAAATTCTCGTAAGTCTCATTTTAAGACTGTAACCGAGACTTTTTAACCGAAAGGGCCGTGTAATTCCTGATTTAAGAAACTAACTCTTCCTTGTCTTTTTGTTTTTCTCTCTCACTATCCCACAGGGAATTTATATACAGGAAAATAGAGCTAGGGAATTTTGAGGTGAAAAAACCAAAGAATTTCCCATTGAAGGAAAAGGTTAGCCCAGAAAGGAAAGAAATGTGGCAAAACTGAGAGTATTGGGATTTTCTTTAAAAGGGTGGTTGCGGTCGAGGGTCTACCCGAAATAACCTCTCTACCTGACACAAGGTAGGGGTAAGGTCTGCGTACACCCCACCCTCCCTGATTCCACTTGTGGGATCACACTGGGTGTGTTGTTGTTGTTGCCCTTCAAAAGGGTGGTTGCCCCTCTCTATTCCGCCATTGATTTTCCTCTACTATCAAACAGCCAACAGCCCTTTGTTTATGAGAAAACAGATATTGGAATTGGATTTTACTTACACTGACATCCTTGTCTTTCCTCCGCGCGTGTGTGTGTGACTGTCTATTGTTTTTCCAGTGTGGATAGAAGGTACATAAAGAGGCAGTGATGATGATGTTACTATATCCGATCTAACGAATTTGGGGATGGAGTTAACTTGACCCGTATCTTTGCATGGGTAACCCGATATGGCATGTGATTGAGACTTCTTTCTCCGATATGCAGCTGGTGTTTGCAGCAATGGCGTGGCTGGCTTCTCTTTTCCCTTATCAATATCATACATCTGAGCCCCATTTGCTGAAAAGAAAAAAACAACATAATCTTTTCCGTGATTCAATGTTGGATATGTGATCTGTGGCACTTTCCGCTACAAGTTATCAGCCCAAAAAGACACGATGCATAACAAAGAGTTAGGATTTTCTTTAATGGGTGGTTGCCCCTCTCTGTTCTGCCGTGATTTTCCTTTATTCACAAAAAACCAAAAGCTTTGTCATGGAAAAAACAGAAACATAAAGAATACTACTCCTCCTAGTACTACTACATATCTGCCTTTCCTCTGTGTCTGGTGTGTTGCTTTTTAGGTGTTGATGGAAGGTACATAAAGAGTCAATGATGATGAAGTTTATATATCTGGGCTAATCAATTAGGGCATGGAGATTATCTTACCTCGTATCTTGGCTTGGCAACTTGTTACTTGGTATAGCCTGTGACTGAGTCTTCTCTCTCTCACATGCAACCAGTGTTTGCAGCCATGGCGTGGC